GTCTCACTGCCTGCTGCTCCTGCTGTTCCCTAGGAAATTAATTTTTCCGCTCCGGGGTGCCCCCTTTTAGCTGGTGTCTTGTTCCCCCCAGCAGACCCGTGTCCTCTGCGGCGAGAAAAGCCGCTCTGCGTCTCCCTGGTCTGCTGGGGGGAAGCGCCCCCCGTGCTGCCGGAGGTGGCGACAGCGGGGGAGGCACCCCGCACTAGCTGCGCCCCCCCTCCCGTTCGTAACTAGGGGTTCGACTTACGTCGGATTGACATAACCTGGGAACTTACTGTACAGGCTGGACCTTCCAAAATTGAGTCTCTCTGATCTAGCAACATCCATGGCCTGGCAGGACCACGCATGTTCCTGGATCAGGGAGTGTTCGTAACTAGGGGTTCGACTTAAGTCGGATTGCCGTAACCCGGGGACTGCCTGTAATTCTTTTCTGCTCTGCACCGATTAGGCTTCATGTGGAGTATAGTGTTGAGTTCTGGGATTTATGTGGAGAAAATTTCAGAATTTGAGGAGAAATTGGAGAAGGTCCAGAGAAGAGCAACAAAAAAATTATTAAAGGTTTAAAAAACATGACCTGTGAAATAGGTGTGTTAGCTAGTGATTAATTGAATAGTTGGGTAACCGCATCAAATATCAGTTATATGACTATTTGATAGTCCCGCTGGGGCTGGCAGCGGCAGTGGGCTGAGGGGTCAGAAGAAGGGGACCTCCCGTGGTGCAGCAAATTCCCTAGTTCAGGACTGGTCAGGTCCCAAGCGTGTCAGACCAGAGAGGTCCAAACTGAACTAACATTAAATTGGGGAGGGGACAGGAAGGGCACTGAATACACGACAGTGAGGCGCATGGAATAGATCAGTGTTGCTCAACCTGTTTTTATAAAGTACCCCCTTTAAAAAAAAAAATTATAAGTACCCCCAGTACCTACAGGTTTCAGACACACAATTTTTTTCTATCATTGCAACACATTTGTTTAAATAACTTAATCGTAGCCTGGTGGGTGATGAAATTTTTGGGTGTGAAAAGTACAAAAATAATAAAGCGCTGTAAAACGTAAAACAAAAATTCAGTTTTCTCCAACTTTCAGTTGTGTTGACGTACCCCCCAGACTTCTCTCGAGTACCCGTAAGGGTATTCGTACCACTGGTTGAGAAACACTGGAATAGATCATATTATAACAGTTAGACAAAACAGCTTCATTTGAAGGCAACCGACCATTATTTGTCTCATTTTCAAAACTCTCCCAGGCCCATCTTAACTTCTGCAAAAAGGAATTAACCCCTCCTTGTAACTTTAGATCCCAGGTTATTTTTTTTTCTCAGAAGTTTAGAAATCAATCATAACAGAAATTTTAAAGTCACAGAATCTGATTCTTGTACTCATTGTAGCTCTGTCATCTCCTCAGATCTAACTATGGGCAGCTTTACTGTGGCCTTCAACAGATTCAGGATTTCACCTCAAAAGTTTCTTGTTCCTATTTTTTTTAAATAAACAAGCACTGAGAATCCCAAGTTTAACAAGGAAGCTGTCTAACCCTCTTACTGTCAGTTTATGCACAGAAGAGTTGCTGGATATAACGTTAAGTTATGTAAAGCAATGACGAAAGGATTTTTGAGCTAATACTTATGTAATAATATATTTTTGAACCTATAGTTGAATCAGATGTCAAAATGCTGCCAACCACATCATGAAATGCTGCAACAAAACTTCTGTTTCGTTTTTGCTTTTCAAATGAAAGAGTAGGCATGCTCTGTAACTAAGCATACTGTGTTGCAATATGCAGAAGTAAACAAGATTCACACAACTGGAACAAAGTCATGTGATGGCACATGGTAATTCAAGATGCACTTTTTGTAATGAAAGCAATCTGAGGAGTGTTCTGAGGGACATTCAAATCTAAAATATTTTTAAAAACAAGATGATCCTCGAATAAGATTTGTGACAAAAACAAAACAGATGATCTTAAGAAGGCAGGAAGCAACAGAATACAGTAGTACTAGCTAGAGATATAAAAGTTTAACTGGGTAACCAATAAGCTGACACTTATCAGTGATCTCCACTGGTTAAACTTTTCATCTGCCAGCAGCCCCACAGGGCCGGAAGCCAGGGCAGACCGGGGAGCAGTTAACCATACAACAATAGAATTTGTATTGGTTACATGGTTAATATTTCTTTTAAATGTTTTATATCCTTAGTATTAGCCGTGAGTGAGTATAGAGGCAAACAGCAGCAAGAGAATAGGATGAGAAAGGACAGTGGCAAGAGTGACTAAAATTATGTAGTTATTCAATATAATTAGATGCTGGTCTAGAGGCCAGTGCAATGAGCTTAAAGACATAATCAAGGAATCATGCTGAGCTCTTTAAGATATATTTTACCTGAATTAATATCTTTTATTAGATTATCATGTGTTGGTGAGAGAAACAAGCTTTCTAGCTTACACAAAGCGCTTGCTGAGTTCTGGGAAAAGGTATTCAAAGTATCACAGTCAAATACAAATGCTTTGTCTGCACTCAAAAGTTTAAAAGCGCAGCCAGTGCAGGGCTCTGAGCAGAAAGATCTCCCACCGCTCTAAACCATCTGCATGAGGGGAGCAGCTAGCAGTGCTGGGAGCCCAGTTCAAAGTGGCACTTCACAGCACTGTAGCTTGCTGCACTACGGAGGGTGGGGTTTTTTTCACACGCCTCAGCCAGAAAGTTACAGCACTGAAGTGCCAGATTTAGTCAAAGTGAAACAGATTGTTTAGGATAAATAGTTTTTCAAGAGATTATTCATGGTGAAGTGTCCCATTAAAACTAGGGATGTGAATGGGTAATGGTTAACCATTACCAGGAGCAGCCCCCCATGGGTGGTAGGGATGTTAAATTTCAATTAATTAACTAATCAAATCGACTATTCGATTAGTTGATAAGGACTCCCCGCTAGCCCCAGGCTCCTTGCGGTGCTTCTCCCTAGTGGAGACTCTTGTACATTTCAAAGTTGGAATGCCACTGCTGCGCCCCTGTCCCCTCCCATGGAGATGGAGCTGGAGCTGGGGGGAACCAGATTTTAAGCCGGCTTCCCCCAGCCCCCAGTACCCCTCCTCT